CTAGTAAATGATATACTGGCTGTTGTTGCATCTTCATGGAGTGAATTTCCTAGGTAACATATGTAAAGCATACTACATGTGTATACAGAACCATGTGTAATGAGCCTTAAAAGATCCTTATGGCCCCCTGATCTAGAGGCTGAATTAGAGATGTTTTGTTTGGGGGGAAATAGACCACTTTGATGCCTTCAGGTGTTGAACTCATGGGTTTCTGGATGCCCAAGGGCACATGTTCAGACCCATGCAGTTCAAGAGAAAAGTGTACTTACTTTCTTCTGTCTTGTTGACGTTGCAGTTCCTGAACAAAACATATTTCTGATTTATAAATGTGTACAGTACTGTGGTTTCCAGTTGCTGTCTTCTTAATCTAAAGGATCTCAAATGTCATATGGAATTATTCTCACCCATATAGACATAATGGTTGCCTTTTTTCCAGTTTGTTTAGTTCCAGTTGACCGTATATTTCAAAAGTGATTATGTAATATTTTTTCAAGCATTATAATATCAATTTTTAACTCCAATCCCTCTCTTAATCTCTGGCAGTGAATTTGTACACAGTTTCCCCAAAAATAAGACCTAACCTGAAAATATGCCCTAGCATGATTTTTCAGGATGCTCATAATATAAGCCCTACCTCAAAAATAAGCCCTAGTTAAGTGAAATCCTGCACTCCACCATTGTGCAGCAGCCAGAAGAAGATGGCATTACTGTATTTGAATAAATGTAGATTGTTTTACATAAAAAAATAAAACATCCCCTGAAAATAAGCCCTAATGTGTTTTTGGAGCAAAAATTAATATAAGACCCTGTCTTATTTTCTGAGAAACACGGTATTCCTGTCTGATTTGAAGGTGCTACAATACTGTTTTCATTTTTGCTGAAAGGAGCTAACGTTACTGTCTGTCCAAAAAAATTAAGTATAAAGTTGTAGATTATCTGTACTATTAGATAGGCTGGAATCTTGCAAGCGAACACAGAAATCAAAATCCTGTTGCAAAGTTGCACAGAAGGCATAGCTTTTGAAAGGGAATTGCTGTAACAAAGCTCCATAGATACTACCTGAGTCAGAGGACTCGGTGTGAAAAGATGACAGAGTGTTCTTAACTTCTGGCAATTTGCTTTTAAATACTGTATTATGCCTTTTAATGTACCTATGCAACAAGGTTTCAGCCAGAGTAACTGTTCCAAGGGCAGGGCACTCCACATAATCCTGGGCTTGCAGTTATGCAAACTGGAGATTGTCCCTTTCAATGCAGTAAGGCTTTCTTCTAGTTACATTAGTTGGGGATAAATACTGTTGCACAGATGGCAATAAACGAGGAACCATGCATGTAAAGGTTTGTTACATGCCTAGTTAAAAACATACCATAATTGTGGCCTTAAAGTTTAACTGGCTTTGGCAGAAAAAGGTAATATAGATCTTATTAAAAGAAGACTACTATATAGGCTATCTGCTACTAGGTGATTTCCCCCGTGTTTTAATAGTAGCCCATTGTGCTGTTTCATAAACTGTTTTGAAAGTGACCTTACATGTAAAAGTTATTTGGTGTGTTCCAAGGCTGCTGTCTGAAAAAACACAAAGCCTAGTGGACATTCAGAACTAGTTATGTGGTTCTTTAGATCTCAGTCAGACAGTTAAAAAAAGAAAACAATGTGACTTGAACATGAAGATCTTGTTTAAAGGTAGCCCCAAGGGTAAGTGGAAGTTATTTTTGTTTAACACTTGCTGAGCACAAGTACAAAGCCAAAATGAGCTTCTGCTTCTGCCAAGTAGAAAACAAATAATGTAAACATTGGCTTCCTTTATGGTCACTGGAGTACTTGACAGACACCTGGCAAAGCAAGCTAACATGCTTCTGTTTGCCTTCCAGGTTTTAGCTGAAAGAGGGATATGAAGACTTTTTTATTTCTGTCCTACCAGATATTTCACTGCAGTATGTCCAGCCGTTAGCCCACTTGCCTTCACCTTACTGGATCAGTTAGTGGGGGAGAGACCAGAAGCAGGTCAGCTTGTCTCTAGAGATGGGGGTATTCATATACGAATAGTAATATCCCTGCACAGGTGGAAATAACGAGGGTTTTTGCCACTGCCGCTGGCTCAACAGAGGCTTCCTATTGCGCTGTTCTCTGCAATGGATTAGCCACTCTCTAACCTAGCAGAGAGCCTTGTCATCCCGCCTCCTGCCAGGACTGGGTAATCGATTGTGGACAGTGGTGCAATAGGAAGGTCTTAACGAGCTTGCGTCAGCGGCAAAAATTTCCACCTGTGCGGGGATATTCGTATATGACTACAAATATCCCCATCTCTACTTGTCTCGTTCTTGGTTGGCACTCAGCTATGTTCAGCCTAATAGCTGCACAGCTTTGTAACTTATTTCTCCACATAGAACTCCTCATCCTGCCTCCTCTTTTTCACAGTGATTGGTACCAAAATCTGTAAACTCCTTGTTGATCAATAGATATCTTATAACTCACTGTAATGTTTTTACATGGTATTATTCAGTATTGTTCTCAAGCTGTTATTTTGTAGCTAATCCAGTAGAGGGAGAGCAAGTTATACTATTTTACTTGTGGCTAGGAAGGATTTTTATTTTTGTGTCTCTGAGAATGTGTGCACATAATATAACTAGAATCCAAAAAGATGTATTAATGGGAAGACTGTGCTCATAGAAGAATGCAGCTTTTTCTGCTATTGAAAAAAAACTTAAAAAACAGAAGAGTTATTTCTCTTTGTGTTAAATTGTTGCAGTGATAACAGCTTAAAAATCTTGGCTGCTTTCAAGATTTATTTTTCTTCAGAGTGCATTTTCTTTCTTGGAATACAATCTTTTGGCTTTGTTAAGCTATGGAACATTTCAGAAATGTAAGATTACTAAACTATTCATACAAACTATTCATACAAAATGGCTTATATTCAAAAGTCTTTTCAGAGGTCTTCATTTTGTTGTTGCAGTGATGTCTATTTATGTTTTATTTTCGCAGCATGAAGATGATGCTTGGCACTACAACTCCTTCCAGTATTGGAGATCTCCCTTACCTGCCATTGATTTGTGCGACATTTTGGATTTAGAAAAGGATGTATTAGAAGCAGGAGATTCCAGCAATATTGCCTTTTCCGAAATGGAAACCTGAAAAATTACCCTTTTATGAACCAGCTATGCAGAAGTTTGTTTTTCTTCAGTTCTGCTTTTGTTTGGGAAAGCAAGCAGTATTTTTAAGAGAAAAAAAAACAGACCGAAGGAATAGTGGTGCAACTAACCAGCAGATTGCCTGAGGAAGCTGATGGTGGACAGAATCAAAGGAGTGCAAAGCTTAAAGAACATTTTTAAAATCAGCACAGACAAAAATTGTACCAGTAAATAAACAGTAAAATAAACAAGAACAACGTGGAGTGTTCCAGAATGATCTGTGCTAATGTGTAGCTAGTCAAAAGAACATGAATGAGATCTGTATTGCCTCTGTATAATCAAAACATAACCAAAAATAAATGAAACAACAACAAAAAACACTTCTATGCAGAATGAAAGAGGCAGTCATTTTCTATCCAGAATTGCCATAGCACAATTTTTCTTATTCTTGCTGGAGCTTAAGCATTGCTTTTGTGGGGAAGTATAAATGATATCAGGAGATTGCCGTATTATACTTTGCTTATTTCCAAACCTATGGACTGTAATTAAGGAAAGAAAACCATCCAAAATAGTGTGAACTGAGCATAAGTCTCAGGACTGGTTGATAGAGGCCCCAATCTGGAAGAGGTTCCAGTCTTTTTGAGTACTGTATCATATTTTTGCCAGATATTGGTCTTAATATAAATGTTTATCATTTTGTCATTTTTTCTAGCAGTGACTGCGTGAAACTAGAGAAATCTTAGTTTTAATTTTTATTATATATTTGTCTTTGTAATAATATAACATCTGCATATTTGATAAAGTGTTTTCATTGGATAATAAAATTTTGAACTAGTTTTTTGAAACTATGAAGTGACATTCATATTGGTGATTTCTTATTTTGAGAACTGAATTTTCATGGTGCATCAGACTAGTGCATCAGCAAAATGTGTTGGACTGCTGTGGAATATATTAACTTTTTTCTCTCTAAAGGAAGGAAAGTAATGTGAAGCTTGGGCTACAAATTTTATTTAATTGGGTTCAAAGTATTCCCTGAAGCGGCATTGTGGCATTCGCCCAGGTTATGATTATTCATATGCTATTTGTATAGACCAATGGGACTGCTGGAGGGGTGGAGTCATGAGGTATAAGAGACTCAGCAACAGGAGGAGGAGTTGAGATAGAGTTAGAAAGTTCAGAGAGTTTTGGATTTTTGGCGGGAGACTGGCGTTTGAGGGTGGATAAAGAAGAATGTTTAAGTTAACAACATTGCTTGTTCTGTCAACACCTGTATCAATAAATGATTTCTATTTGTTTGTTTTTTAAAATGACATATGGCCTGGACATCTATCATTCATAAAAGGTACTTTTGATGAAATCAACTGGTGGTAGCCAAGGGGCACGTAGCGTGAGCTCCTAGTTCGGTGAAAAAATCAAGGGCCACTTGGAATCATGACAAATTGGTGGCACAGTGCTGGGAAACAAAGCAATCCAGTGAAAAGTTGAATAGGCTTGAGTTGAAAGGTATTCCTAGCTAGAAGCGGTTAGGATCTCTGGTAAGGTTACCTGTTAGAGTCTTGGTGAAGACTTAATTTCAGGGTTTCTGGACCCAGATCTGGGGAATCCTAAGAGAAGGAAAATACCTACTCATGAGAAACCATTTTACCTCAGGATTTACAAGACCTAGTCTTGTAAGGGTAAAGAGCAGTGGTGGCTAGAGTGGAAGCCTAGGTCAAAATAGATCTGAGGGGATAATAAAAGCTAAGCAGAGGTTGTTCTGTATCTGGAGACAGAAATTGTCGAGACAGGGAAATATTGTGACAAGGGTTGTGAGCTCTGGAGTAGCTGAGGCCAGCTGCTTAGAGAAGCACAGCTTAGTTAGAAGGAAAGCCGCTGAAAGAGACTAAAAGAGCTTGTACTGTACTTTTGGCTTTTGTGAGGAAAAAGAACCAGTCCAGATTAATAAGAAATTGTATTGTTTATGCTGCCCAAAAGAAGTAAAAAGTCAGTTATGGAGGCACAGGCTGAGCTCCATGGTACCCTCAAATTCAAAGAGATGAAGAAACTGAGGGACCTGTCTTGATTGCCTGAGAGGGAGAAAATATTCAAAGCTCCCAAGATTTAAAAAAATGGAAGCTAGAACAGGAATTAAAACTGAGGGAGTCAGCTATGAAAAACCAATTAGAATTGGAAAAAGAAAAGATTAGAGAACTTGACAGGAAAAGGGAATTTGAGCAAAGAGAAAGAGAAATGCAATTGTAAATAGAGATGAAGAAACTGGAATTACCTGCTCAAAATAATAATAACAACCTAGTGAGGTAAATCTCTGAAAAATCAACCTCAATTTTTTTTCTCAGTATAGGAAAGGGGATTGTCCTGAATCTTTCCTGATTTCCTTTGAGCTTGTTGGGACTTTGAGGTAAAAGATGATGAGAGGATGATAATTTTGAGATCACAAATAAGTGGGGTGTTAGCTGAACTTTATTCACAGATGCCTCTGGAGCAAGCTAGAGATTTTGAGGCTTATAAAAAGACAATGTATTCCAGATTTGGAACTAATTCAGAGCACCTCAGAAGGAAATTTAGATCAGTTTCAAAGAAACCTGAGGAGTCTTTTTCCCAACTTGGAGTATGTTTGACACAGTATCTCAATAAATGGCTGGAACAGGAACATGTCACCTCTTTAGACCAAATGAAAAATGTGTTTGGATTGGAACAATTTTATTCAGTTCTGGCAAGTGAGTTATGTTATTTGGTCAAGGACAAGGATCATAAAAATGTGCTGCACCCATCTGAATGTGCTGATTCTATTAATGAGATCAGAGATCCTCGATTCTTTGAGGTAAAGTTTGGTAGGAAAGTGTGGGACAAAAGTAAACGCAGTAAAAACAAAAGTTTCCTCTGTCAGGTGCAAGTTAATGGAAGCTATTTTAGAGACAAACCCTCATTCTCAGATCACAGTCCCCTGAAACCGAATAGTTCTGAGGGAAAAGTTAATAAGGCCCTTTATTTTGAACCCAAGGCCAGTAAACAATGTTATGTGTGTGAGGAGAAAGGTCATTTTTGGGCTCAGTGTGAGCCTCAAAAGACTAGGGATTTTAACCAGCATAAAAGGTGGAAATTCCAGTCTGCCTAAGAAGGTGTTTTGTGTGCAGCATAATGAGGCACAGCAATCAGAAATTGAAGTTGAGACTTCTTCCCACCACAGCATGGTTGCTAAGGAAATGGACTTGGCAGAGTGCCCAGACATTCCTGAAGCGAGAGTGATACAATGTTTCCTAATCCAGTGCAATCAGGATTTATTGAATAACTCTGCAGAGCCCATTTTCATTGACAACGTAAAGTATCTGGGTCTGAAAGATACATGTTCCCAAGTTAATATCTATTTTTCCTGAATATGTTAGAACAAAACATCACCCTAAAAGGCATTAGCTCAGACATGGTGGTGCTGCCGATGGCCAAAGTAGCAATGAGATACCAGGGTTGGTCTGGTATGTGAAAGGTAGTGGTGTCAAACCAAATCCCTGCTCCTTGTCTGATTGGTCTAGATCCAGCCAAGCACGTGCGTTCCCAAGTTAATATCTATTGTTCCTGAATATGTTAGAACAAAACATCACCCTAAAAGGCATTAGCTCAGACATGGTGGTGCTGCCGATGGCCAAAGTAGCAATGAGATACCAGGGTTGGTCTGGTATGTGAAAGGTAGTGGTGTCAAACCAAATCCCTGCTCCTTGTCTGATTGGTCTAGATCCAGCCAAGCACGTGCAGAGTGTTTTAATAGTAACTCACGGGAAGCAGATTGAAGCCTCTGAGGGAAGTGCTGAGACTCTTGATGAAAGAATCACTTTAGATGAGCATCTTGAAATGAAAAAAACCTGCTGATTTAGTGCTAATGAGAACTAGTAGTTCCTCCTTTATTAATGAGCAGAAGGAAGATATTACCTTGAGTGATTGCTTTGGGAAAGTTAATGAGAATCCTATTCCACTGACCCCTGAACACCCAGAGAGGTACTGTGTGGAAAAATATTTATTATATAGAGAGGTTTTAATGACACCTCGGGGGGGGGGAACCCACAAACAGCTAGTTGTCCCTGTTAAATATAGAGAAAAGAGCTTAGAAAAAGCACATAGAGGTGTATTTGGGACACACCTGGGAATCTCTCACACTAAGCAAAGAATGGTGCAGAACTTTTATTGGCCTGGAATGGCGAAGCAAGTCAAACAATATTGCCAAAGTTGGGATACTTACCAAATAAGAGGTACTGGAAATGACAAGATAAGGGCTAAGCTATGCCCATCCCCAGTGATCTCGACTCCTTGCCAATGCATAGGTCTGCAAAAGTCCGTGGGGATGACAGGGCAAAACTTCAGGAGTATTCATGAAAAGCAGAGGAGGTGCCGTGATGAAAAGGCCCGGAAAAGAACATTCTGTCCTGAGAACATAGTGGTGATGCTGAGATCCATAGAGGGGAGTGAGTTGCAGCTAGCATGGTCAGGGCCTGTAGAGGTGTTACGTCAGCGCTGGAAAGCTGAAGGGACTAGTATTAAGAAGGCTCCCTATGCAGCTGCAAAGGCACTGAGAATCTTGCAGAACAAGCCCCTACCCGAGAAACCAGAGATTAAAGGGATAGAACCAGATAATGAAACTCTCAAGACATCTGACATAAGCCACATCCAGTGGACATCAGAGTGCCAGGAGCTTTTAATTGTCTGAAGAGAGCATGGCTTTCAGGACCTGTCTTTGTTGCGTGGGACCTAGACCAGGTGTTCATCATCTGCATGGATGTGTCAAAGGTGGGACTGAGAGCTGTGCTGTGCCAAGCATATGACACCCAGTGTCTACACCCAGTGACTTTTAACAGCAGGAAATGCCAATCTGGTGAGAGACATTTGTCATTGAGAGGGCATGCCTATCTATCGTATGGACATTGCAAAAGCTGAAGCCCTACATTTGGTGAAGGAAATTCATCCTCTGCACTGACCATTTCCCTTTGGTGTGGCTACGAACTATGAATTCCAGTAACAGCAAACTTGCAAGATGGACACTGATCCTGCAAGACTTTGACTTTGAGATCCGCAGCGTAAAAGGGACTCAGAATGTGGTTGCTGATGCCTTGTCTTAAAGGCCAATTGATTAATGGGTGGATAAAAAGTTTGTAATACAGTGGACACTCGACTTACGCAGGGCTCCACTTACGAAAATTTCGAGCTAAGGACTTCTCCAGCTGCAAGATTTCCAATCGACTTGCGGCCGGAGAATCGACCTATGGACCAGAAGAGGGAG